ATGTTTATATTTAAAAAAATATTTTAGTGTAATTGTTATACGCTGAAAACAATTAAAGTACTTCGAAGTATTCTCTTTACGACCGCTTAAATGTAACTGGGTCAGATGAAAATTTTAATTAAACAATATAATAATCACGAAAATAAGTCACTATAAAAAAATTGAAAAATTAATAAAAACCAAATTAATTATAATTCTAGAAGATTCTGTTGAAATTAATTATACTTTCGAGATATTGTCTCACTTTAATATTCATGAAACACTAATTAATATGAAACGCTTCTATAATGTATTGTGTCTACGAACCTCTACGAAGTTCTACGAAGTCTAAGATAACTCGTAGAACAATAACACTCGCTGCTACGTAAGTGCTACGGCATAATAAAATGTATATTAAAACTATGAAAGATATTAATTAGATTTTCTTATAAAAAATATGACATAAATGTCTTATAGTTTTCTATAAGGGTTAGTGCTATAGCAACCTTTATGAGTTGATGAGGCGTAAAGAATTAATGGAATGTAAACGCCTAGACACCGTGTGCGTCTGTTACTAAACTTAGAATATAATCTACTAGAAAATTAATATATATATATATTGTAATATAGGATTCGAAAAATCTCGATAAAAGTACTACAGAACAGGCAATATTCGCCAAGCGACAAAACCATTGAGTGTTATTGAAAGACGATATTTTCGGTGTCAAATCTACATAATAGAAATTCCTTACAAAACCATACATAAACCTGTCCTTTTTGAACATAAAAATGTGAACACTGTGGTATTTTATCAATACATCATGTTTTGTAAATTGAGATAAAATTTTAATCTTACGTACATAAGTACTATGATAAGCAATTCTGTGTAATTATATAGACTTAAACCAATTATAGTATTTATATGAATAAAAATATGCAAAAAAATATAAAGGACTCTCATATTATTAAAAAAAGCGGCATTTTAATGGCTTTAAAGTAACGGACATACGAATATATGTATATTATGGACTCAGGCCTTAGTAATCATTTTCATATCTCGTTCTATTTCCTCAGACGATAGCCAAGAGCTATTCAGAGCCAACAAAAGCCAGCCCGAGTCCTTTGTCCTCACTATGAATGGAGCTCTTATTACTTTTTGAGCAAAAAAAATGCTTTAACGATAACTGACCAGCCTGGCAGCATTCATTAAAACGCTTTATACTGAACCAATCTTTTTGAATCATCTAACACAGATAGGTTAAGGATAAGATAAAAAAAAGATAAATGGCATTAAGTATTGTTAACGATAATTGTTTTGGTCTCCATATAAAAATTGGTAAATATAAATCGAGCTGATTCTGTGATAGAAAAAAATTGTGAACATTTTAAGTCAGATCCAATTCAGTACAACATAAAAATAAAGAACGAAACCTTTGTATTATAGCTTTGTATTTAAAATTATAGGTTTACTAAATTATGAACTTTTGAACCACAGTTTTTTAATTTTATCATATAACGGTTTGTTTAAAATATGTATATATTAATTAGATAATATAATTTTGGAATAATTTTACATAAAAAAAAACGAACACGAACGTGTTTTACTAACAAATTTCCATGATTTTGTGTTAGTGGCCCCTAATGATCATATATGTATTAGGTTGGTGCGTATGAAATGTCGGATTCTCTTTACATGCGGACGTTTGTCTCCCTGTTTTCGTTATACTTTTGTCTTTGGCATAACTTCATGCACAGTCGTATTGTCCATTGCCAGAGACTCATTTCAGCAAAATAGGTTTTCTCGAAGGTCTTTCCTTTTGTTATTTCTTTTGAGTTTATTGCCGATATGAATTCTGCCAACATTCGCGTCATTTTCTTATATGAGTACAAACTTGGTAATAGTGCTGCCAAAGTTGCACGCAACATAAACCAAGCGTTTGGGGAGAATACAGTTAACGATCGGAAATTGCAGCGTTGGTTCAAAAAATTTCGGACTGGCGATTTTTCACTGCAAAATGAGCCACGCGGAAGACCCAAAACGTCTGTGAAGAATGATGACCTGAAGGCTCTAGTGGAAGCAGATCCAGCCGTATGCACGAGGGAACTTGCTATCTGGATGAAAGTTGACCATACAACGATATTGAGATACCTTTCTGAGATTGGCAAGGTTAAGAAGATGGACAAGTGGGTACAACGCTCGGCCGCATACATCGCACAAAACAATTGCGAAACTGAACGAACTGGAATATGAAGTTTTGCAGCATCCACCATATTCATCGGATCTCTCGCCGACCAATTTTTATTTTTTCAAGAATTTAGAGCTGTTTTTAAGGGGCAAACACTATGAAAATGAAGACAGTCTAAAAAACTCGATATCAGAGTTTATTAATTCTAAAGACCAAAATTTTTTTAAGACAGGCATCTACGCTTTAAAATCTCGTTGGGAGAAGTGTATTGAAGCGAATGGAGCATACTTTGATTGAATAAACAGCTTTTGAAGAAAGATATGCAGTTTTATACAATCACTTAAGAATCCGACATTTCATACGCACCAACCTAATATAAGTAATTTTTTTATACATTTCCATTGAACGGGATGTAAAGAATCCTATGTCCGTCTTCTGGTTCAAAACTAGCTTCTTACCAACTTTCATCCAAATAGCGGCAGCAGAGTTATAAATAGTTTAAATTACTCGACTTTCTTTCATATATACATATATACAACTAGCTGACCCGGCAGACTTCGTACTGCCTCAATCAGGAAATAAATTATGTCTTATTTATTTTTTTGGTGTTTACCTTTAAGCCATAAATCTCTGTGTTCTGAAGTGCGACAAAATGATTGACATAATATTAGTTAGTTGTCAAATCTAATGTCAAAAACCGTTTGTATGGGAAATAAAAAAGCGCTGTTTTCAGGGTTTTCCCGGAAATTAATAAAATTTTTTCAGCTTTTAAATCTTCCCTGAACCTCCACGAACATTTCAAGACTAAATAAAGATAAGATAAATCCGTTCAGTCGTTCTCGAGTCTTAGTGAGACCAAGGAACAGCAATTCATTTTTATATACATTATAAAGATTTATATAGATTATAAAGATTTTCGTTCATAAATCTTCGTACATTATAATAACGTAAGATATTTATAAAGAAACTGGCAAACCCTCCCACGTACAGTGACGATTAAAACTTAAACTATACCTACTGATACTAACTTTGTTTACTCATTTAACTTAGCAAAGTTAAATGAGGAGGTAAACAAACATTAATTAATTATGAGTTCACAACTTACTAACTAAGAAACAACAACATCAGATGCAAAAACTTGTACTTCATACAGAATTAACACCATAATCTAAAAGCTTGAAATTTAGACAAAAATCAACGCATTAATGTTCGACATGGGAAGAAAAAAGACATACTATAATCGTAACAGCTTTAGGTATATGTAAAACTAATATTATAGGAATTGTGTTCCATTAAATAAGTAATCATTATTTTCTGTATATATCAGCTTTATGCTGGTGAATGTGAATCAAATGGTATATAAATTTCAATACATATGTACAAAATAAATAATAATAATAGTTTGTTGATAAAATAAATATCTAGATTCCGTTGTAAAGATATTTGATCATCATCATCAGTCTATCAGAGTCCATTGCTAAGAAAAGTTCTCTTCTCACATGGAGAAGGTTAGAGCATTAATTACAATGCTTTATTAATTGAATTGGTGATTTCATACTCATAATTTGAAATTACAAAACAGGTTTCATAACGAATTTTCATTCATAGTCTCTCTCTTAGCTTAGCTATTTATTTAAATATTTAAAATATACACGGAATAATATTTTTCATATGTAAAAATCAAAATAATGCTTAAGAAAAAAATTCTTCAGGTATCACAAACATATACTAGAGATTTTTTTCGTTAAAAATAACATCGCATTTGTATCCATATATTGTCATACCTAATTATGATTAGAGCCATGAATTTCGACCATATTATATTATATGTCTCCGTGAAGAGCCTTAGTGCTTCACAAACTACGCAATATCACGCGAGTCGTGTTCAAAACAACGCAATTTCATTGTCAAGAACAGGGTGGATGTAAAAAAATCTTTAAAATATATATAATCGGTTACGCAACAAAATGTTTTAACCCAGATATGAAGCAAATAAAATAGGTCTCAACCTAAAAGCGGATTACGTAACTACCAGGTCATGGTACTTGAAAACTATTTTCAAACGATTATGGCTGTTTCCAGACATTATATCCTATTAAATAATACGTTAAAAATATTAACTTAAAACTATTTATATTCGCTCTTCTAAACTAAAACCTAATACTCATAAGTGTATATAATTTTGTTACAAATATTCCTTGTTTAAAAGTACAAAGATATTACGTTCCTTAATTTATTAAGATGTTGTTTCTTAAATTCAGATACGAGCGAACCATTAGATAGAATTAATAAAAAATTATTCAAAGTAATATTAAAAATGTATTTCTAAGTTATGTAATTTTAAACATGAAATGCAGGACGCAGGTGGAATTTATGAATCTTCAATATAAAATGAAGATCTAAGAAATAGCTCCGATACAAATTCTTATACTAGAAAATGTATTGTAAATTCAACAACTGTATAACTAAATATATTATTAGATTATTTTGCATCATAAATTTATTTAAAACTAGCTTTCCGCCCGCAGCTTCGCCCGCGTGGAGTTCGGTTATATCGCGTTTTCAAAAGTCTGAGAAAAAAACTATCCTATATTATTTCTCAAGGTCAATTCTATCTCTGTACCAAATTTCATTAAAATCAGTTCAGTGGATTAGGCGTGAAAGCGTAGCAGACAGACAGAGTTACTTTCACATTTATAATATTAGTAGGGATTCAACCGTCGTCTATTGTAAGTAAGTTAATGTTATATAAAATTTATATAGAAGGGTCTTATAGTATGGGTATATGTCTTAATAAACCTCGGCTTAATTAATGTTTAAGTGTAATTGACTTACCGTTATCAGCAACCGGAGCCGCTATGACGGTCATGAAGCAGATCGTTAAAACAGCCAACCTCAGGCACAGCTTCATCATATAAGAATCTGGAGAACATGATACAAATAAATTAATATATAATATATATACTACATACTTTATATTATACCTATAGGTTTCTTTACTCTTTTTTTAAATGAAACTGAAAAATGAAATTTTTTTATGTAGTTTTTTATCAAAAATAAAGTCGTGTTAAATCCGAAAAATAGTACTTTCATTAAAGGAATAAGACTCGCGAAAATCTTAGATCTCATTACGTTTTTTTTATATTTAAATTTCTATCACTGGAATTCAATTTCCTAATTGATTATTCAAATCACTTAAGAGGGATTGCTGTTTATTGATGACAGTTACTTAAAATATTGTTTTTCTTAAAACTACTAATGATCTTTTTATATTGATCTGAGTAAGAAATTATGGCTGTTTAATCCGTTGGCATAAATTGGCAAATGTTTTAAGTATTGTAATTATATATATTAAAAATAATTAAGATCTTAAAGGAAAGAAGATTAATGCTGAAACTTATCGTTTCTTAAAACAATTAATCTTAAAACAATTAATCACAATAACAATTTGTCAGATAATTGATTAATAATAAAAGAAATTATATAATAAATGACTCGAATTGAAATACCATAGCAACATTTTCAGACTAGTACGCTAACTAAGTAATACAAATTGAATTTGTACAACTTCAAGGAAAATCCATACAGGTTCGCGGATTTGAAAGACCTATAAATGCAATGCCTTGTCATTAACACTCAATACATTTAATACATAAACCTTACTATGATGTGAAAGACTCAAAATATATATAGACTAGTTTTGGTCTGTGACTTCTTACGTGGTATTTGGATTTAGGTTTAGAGAGAAATGTATATAGTGTTTTCAAACATAGATAAAGTGATCAGACGGACGCAAAACCTATATATAATATACGTCACATAGCTCCAAACACAATTCCATGATCCTACAGTAACTATATTGCATGTTGTCATATATCATATCCTATGTCTTATTTCAATATCTCAGCTACATAACAGCAACGCTTTATGAAAATCTATAAATTATTTCTTACGTGAACTATGAACAAACATCCTTACATCATCACAAGGATTCATATTGAAAATAATCTTTTATAAACCTTTAAGATATTTATGTATTCTTCTAATATCTTATTAATATTTTGGTACTATAGCCAAATACTGTTAATATAAATGGAATCAACAAGTTGCATTACGTCCAAAACGTGTTCCACATTCAGAATCACTCGATTCTGTGTTCCAGTGACCCAGTTCTCCCCCTCGTCCCTTTCAACAATAGCTACACGTTTTATTGATACCTCAAAACATATCTACTATACAAATGAATCTATACATTGTATTTAAATTTAAATATCAACATTATTCAGATGAATTTTATTTGAACAAATTGAATCGTCTGCTAGATTTTTTTTAATGTTTTATTTCGGGATGAAGTGAATTAATAAAGTATGTAGGAGTTTTGAGCCTAAATAAAACTGTAGTTCTAATAACGTAAAGATGGGAAATACCTAATATTATCAAAAGAATAACTAAACTTTGAACTCCAATCACGTGTTGAGATTAATTACAGGCCTTAATTTTTCTAATACATTGACATTTCTAGATTATTCCGACGACAAATTATTCTTGTTTATGATTCATAATGAAAGTAAAATAATTATAGAACCAATAGATTTGCTAAGTCTAGAAATGTATGTGGTCTATCAATTAGAATCTAGATTGCAGCGACGACTAGTACCAAATTGCGGCGTCAATCTAAAAGTAATTTGCTCCGCAGATATTCATTCACTCATTCATTCATTCATTCATTCATTCATTCATTACTAGATTGAAACAAGTATTGAGCATTTAGCATTCCCGCACTTAAAAGTCTTATAATCAAATTACATTATAATATCTTCAGTCAAGATTAAATTATGCAGATAACAATAATTCGCAGAGTCAAGTTGGACGAGGAAAAAATAAATTACCTCTTAAGACATGACCTTTTCTTGGACAGCTTATAATAAGATAAAATAAAACGGCTTTCTCAAAGGGATATCACTGAACAAACTCCATTCCATTATCATTATATTCCAAGAGAAGATATGCATTTTATTGCTTAATATAAAAAAAAAATCATAATATTATTTTTGTAATATAAAATGTATAGCATCATTCTGTAGGAATTTGCTTTACGGCATGTTGAAGTAAAGTGAAGTCAGGTCACCGTGAAATAGAGAACATCCTACATAAAAATAGAATTTCCTTTGTGAATAACGAAATTCCTTGAGCGAAAAACGAGCTACCTCCTTCTAACTGATATAAAAAAAAACTTGTTGTTGACTTTTTTAATTTAGAATATCTTAACGTTCAATAACTATACATAATCTTTTTAATAAGAATAGCCGCATAAATGTAAATAAACTGATAAGTTTGATAAATATATTAGTAATAATGTTATATAAACCAGTCATTAAGTAATTTAATCAAGAATATCACGTCCATAGATTGATTCTCACACAAAACCGGCCTACGCACATCCCACATGTAATGTCCTGCATAAAATATGAGATCCACTATAAAAGAAGATTAATGTACCCCCGTCAATGTATATTACGTATCGTTCCTACATAGCTATAGACAGACTTGCTCCACTGACGACGAATTGATTTCCTTTATCCTCAAATCGTAAAATTCCCATCCAATATCACTAGAAAATTGCCTTTTTCGTCTTACAAATTGTTATATTCATTGTTATATACTTATATCAGATTTGCTGTATCAAATTATAATTTTATTATAGACAGTAAAAGGTTTTTTTAATTAAATCACATTGAATTTATGTAATATTTTGTCAGCGTCAACGTTTTTCGTTGTCGTAACAAAATGTAATATATTTTTTTAATACTGCGTTGAGAAATCACGAAGGAATTTGTCTAATGGAATAATCACGTTATTTTATTTAAGACTCCCGTTAAATTTTTACTCACACCCGAAACAACCAAAAATACAGAGTTTTTGTTAGTAACTTAGAATATTAATATATTTAATTTCAATACTTTTAACAGGCGTTATAAATTTAATCTGTCAAATTAATTTGTAGAACTTAAAAGTGTATAGAAATGTAGACATTGGCAAAATATTCCACGATTCCAGTAATAATTAAGCTATAGCTTAAAATAAAAGGACAGTATATATGTAATCTGTTATTACTTCACTTAAATATTTTAAAAATTTGTTTCAATTTCTCAATGACAAAGATATGAAAAAAATATTTTGGATTTTATATAACAAAAAAAAATTACATAATTATAATATTTATATTTTACCAGAATATACATATAAATAGCAAGTTAAAATCATAGTTTCAGCTTGCTTTAAATAAATATTTATCATGAGATTTGTCTATTATCTCGAAATATTATAACAAATATATATAAAAACTCGAGCATTCATTGATTGTTGATATTATTTATATGAAAAATTATTTTGTTTTTATTATACTGTATGAAAAACTAAAGTGACATATCACAGGAGATCCTTAAACTTTTAAAAATTTCTCAGAACGTTATATTAGTAGGAAGCAAAAGATATGTGTATTTTAACAATCGTTTCGACCAAACTTGACAGATACGCGACCGGTTTACTTTTTTTTTTTTTTTTGAAATCATCCACCGACATCGGCGTTTGCATTTCAATAATTGTTTGTTACATTTGTAATTATTACTTTTCATAGAAAAATTATATGACAATTATCAAGTTTACCAGAAGAAAGTAGCTTACAATCGATGTTCCAATGTTTCCAAAATACAAAAATGTTTTATGAACATTTATCACTAGTTAATCCGCGGTTTCAACCTCTTAAAATGAATTCCATACTAATATTGGAAAAACGTATTAGTTTTTGGTATAAATACAATTTTTATTCACAATCTTTTAAGTTTCAAACACCGATAATACCAAACAAACTGTCAAACACTTATATTTGATATATAGATACATAAGAAAATGAAATAAGTAAGTGAATATCGTTTATTAGTTTGCTCTGAATAGAATGAACATTTTTTATACTACAAGACGATTTTAAAACACCAAAGATGGTTTGTATTTCGTGTATGATAAATTGATATATTCCTTCGAGGATTTGTCAAGATATAAATTATTATTACAACCTTCATGATTAGTCCGAGTTGGCATCCTCATTCGTCACGCTATATACGTAACTTTAAGAGTTTTTCATAAAATACTTCACAATATAGTATTACAGTAGATCATTAAATGAGAAATGGGCAAAGCTTCGTATGTAGTCACGAAACGAAATCTGAATAAACATATAGTAACTTTGTCATCAGCCTATCAGTGCACACTGCTGAGAAAAGGCCTCTTTCTCATATATAGTTACTTATTATTACTCTATTATTATCAGTAGAATTCTTTTTCAAAGAGCGTTTGTAAAGATTTTCTTTTATAAGTATGTTATAATGTTATATGAAAATTGTTTTAGACCTCTTGTTATAACATTTTTTATGAATAAATTATCACTGCAAGCAACAATTTAATTTGGAATTTATAGCAAAAATTGTATGTATGTATTTGACTTTGATTTTTTTGTTTCAATATTAAAAATGTAATATTATACATATATTGTTTACATATATAATACAATAATAACTAAACCACTGACTAATAATACAAGCTAAATTTAGTCACTAGTTGATATGTCAAATAATATTAACAAATCGAAAATTGATATTAGTATAGATAGGATGTGACTGGCTAATTACTATGGCATTTTGAAATATTGTGCCAATATCAACGTGTATTTAAATTTATTAATTACTATAAGTAAAATAATTAATATTGTCAATTTTTTTTTCGTTTATGTACATTGATATATAAAAATATAAGGTTTGAGGTCAATATGAATATATAAAAAACTTTAATCCTAAATAAACAAATAATTTTAAAACCATTCCGCAATAAACGTTCTAAGAGGATGGAAATGGGACA